CTTACCATATTTAGGATATGTACACAATTCCTATTTAATGGAAGATCCCACAAACGGGAAAAGCAATTCAGCCTAATTTTATCAGTATTTATCTCAAAATTATGTTTTGACCTTGGTCTAGACTCATGACTTCTTTCTATGACAAACATAAGGTACCGAAAGGAGTTAGGGTGGTTTTTTTCGAAAATTTATTGATGAAATCTCACTTGTGGCGGAGGAATACCGTGGTTACAAAGTTAGAGTGGTTAAGCATATATCATCAAGTTGTAGTTTGACTTGAATAATAATGCGTGCAAGTTGACCCCGAATATTTAATCCTTGTTACAGACCTTCTTAGGCTGAGTATAAACATAATTGATTATTATTGTGCACTGTTCCGATACCATGTGAGAGACTACTGACCAAACTACCAGCCAATGCAGCAGCACGAACTGTTCAGTAGTCTACTTGTCCAAATGCTTAAGCTTATGCTGGTTTCTCGTAGTTAACCTAAAGGCATGTTTGTGTGCTGTTTTTGAAAGAATTGTCCAACACAATGGACAACAGTTTAGCTTCTTTTTGTTCTTTAAATTAACCCGTAATCTATAATCCATCTTCCCAAACAAGATATACATTTTTCATTTAATATTTGAAAAGTTCCCTCATGTAGAATGGGGTTTTACAGGATTTGCAATCAATATCGTTAAGATAAAGAAGCTAGATTTTCCTTTGAGATCTCACAGAAAATTCATGTTCATAAATAGTTATGTATGGAGCTGGGCTCTAAAATGCAATTATAATCACCCAATAAATGGAGAGGCTTGAGATTGTATATTAGTTTTAGGTACTTCTTGATGCAAAATATAGTACTAATCTGTTTTAATGCAACATCAAGAATGTTGAGGGCATAGGTAGTCTAGTTAAGAAATGTGTTACAATTCTTTACTTTTCCAATTAATGCAGTTCTCTTCATGCAAACTCTTTTTTAACCATTCTAAATATGGAGGAGAGCAGGGCATCAATGCACCAAGTAGTTAAATATTTGCCTTAGCTTGAAGTTATTATTTAAATAATTCTAATCTTATCAGTTATTGTAGTAGTACTCTCCAAAGATGA